CCCAAACAAAACAACCACCGACGTGATGAGTTTCCCCCATTCCAAATACTGGAAATAGATAAATAAATGGGTACACTACATGCAGTAAAGGCTAGCGAGATCAACTTTTCTTTATATATAAAAAAAATAAAAATTAGTCCACATCTTTTCATTTTACTTTTGATTCCTCAGGAATGAATAATAAATAATTTGCAATTTGTGACTGTGGGAGGAAACAGAAAGGGCAACAATTAGCTTGAATCTGGAGGGTTTGGTAAATTCGCCCCCCCTCCCCTAATTTTCCACAAACCACAGTTTAGGACCCACTGGCACAAATCTAATCATCCTATTGTTGCAGCCTGCAGTATTACACCAATAACCACGCCCTGCAGGAGGCCCGATGTTAGCAAACAACCCTCTCCAAAACCCTTTTCTTTCTCCATGCATGTACAGCAATAGCATTAATAAATGAACAAAGTTACTGCAGCGGTTATATAAAGTACTATAGATAGGAAGGCTTTTAATCAACTGACTAGACTGGTGTCTTTGTACCTCGCAGTGTCTGCAGAAAGACAAATGGAGGACAGAAGATTGCGGTTAAAAGGTCTTTCAAGCTGGCAATAGTACAATTCACACTGTGAGCGCTGCTGTTTCTCACTGAACTCTTAAAAAGATGTTTTTATCTCTCGCATCCCACACACAGTGTTTCATCTGCCCCTTGATAAACGGTCGCTTCCTCATACATTAACATTATATTCGTATGTTCACCTGTCCTCCACCCGCTCTGTCCCATGAATGACTAGGTCAGATTATGGAGATTAGTCCCGGTGTGACATCAAGCCAGTCATTTATATAACCCTGTATTACTCTGTCTGCAAGGTCATCTGCTAGATTAGACCAGCTGAAATGATAGGATCACTCACAGGATTAAGTAACCTGGGATGCAAGCAATGCAAGATCAAGCTGATTTACTACACAATGCTACGATTTCATGGAAATAAAAATTTTGTGGACTGCTCGACAAATGACTGTGGAGCTAAATTCAATGGAGTCATTGACGTGATGTTCCAATGAAAAGTATTTAAGTAAGCATTTAATAAACAACAGAGCAAAATTTCTAGGATGCAATAAAACAAAATGAATTTATGGCTACAGCATTTTGCAAGTGACAAACCCAGATGGCTGTTTTGCATTGAACTGAATCTACCATTCAGGACTTGTATTTTTGAAGCTTCAGGCACTGATAGCAGAAGAACACTGGTCCATTGTGCATGATGTTGTTACCATTTGGTTAACATCAGGGTTTCCTGCATGGCTTTTGTAGCAGAGGGAGGCCCCCGCTGCCTGCGATGAAAACCAACACTGCCAACATCTTGGTACACATCTACTAACTACATAGATCAGACCACATGCGTCTGGATGTGATGATCATACAGTCTCGAATTATTACTGTTGACGGTGCGTCAAACTATGGGTGTTTCCTCCTTGGAAATTAAATAACGTAACGGTCAAGACGCTATTAGAGTAAGCCGAGGTTCTGAAATAATCAGAGGTTATTTCCAGTTGGATTTAGGTAATCTTCTTTAGTAAAGCCAAGCAGGCCTCCAAAGATGGACAACAACGCTGCAGAGCTGCGAGCCCGGGTCGGTTTTGGGTGGCATATTGGTTGCACGGGCACAGCCAGTTGGTCAAAAGACTTGAAAAAGCGCTCTGCAGGTCACCTTCAAACTCTGTCAACCCGTTTCCAAAAGAACATTTAAATCTAGATAACAAGCATTTGTATTACGAGTGAAAGGTTGCTTCTTCACATGTTTTATAAAATAGGTGTTATAGGCAACAGTAGTAGATTTAGTTTATTGAAATGATCTTTACAACCCTCAAAGAGACGGTTGAACGGGCAAACCAAGAAGAAGGACGAAACACACGGTCAGCGCTCTCTGCCTCCTCCTTGCTCAGGTCCTTTCCTCATCATCTCTCCTAATCCCTTTGTCATCATTAACTGAATTGCTCCCTCACTGCAATGAATCACTTTTTTCTTAAATCCCTTCCTATCTCACTCCCTAGAGACTAAGGTGGCGAGTCGTGCGATTGGTCCACCAGCGCTCACGTCTTTAGGGGAAAGCCGGTCTCCTTGAGTGACTGACGGCTACCAGATAAGAATAGAGCTCTGCATGCTCTCCACACCTTGTAAGGTAGACGATTCTTATCCTTTCTCTGGGTTTGTAAATATGGACTTCTTGACCAAACTCTGCCTGCTTCACACACACACACACACACACACACACACACACACACACACACACACACACACACACACACACACACACACACACACACACACACACACACACACACACACACACACACACTTCTTTTCTCTGACCTCAGTGTTACGGGGGCTACAAACACACAATGGTTTCACTCAGAGCGAGCCAACCAGCCAGTTATCCAGCTAATTCCAGTAGCTACAGTCAGTCTCCAGCACGCATGGAGCATTAACCACACGGAGAGGGGGGAGGAGGGGGGGGGGGGGGGTGGGGGGGTCCATATTTTGTATCTCCAAAACTTTGGCTGCTCGCCACACGGTGGGGAGGGAGGGTGGTTTTCATCTCACTAGGCCTATTTGTTTGTCTGTTAGCTGGCTAAAACCATGAATCAATCTGCACAAAACCAGCCTTTGTGTGAGAAATGCATTAAGACACATTGCTTCTAAACAGATTCACATGACAGAAAACAAATGGAAATTGGCGCAAAGTAACAATGAAGGAAGGAGGGGAGGTCAAATATTTCCAAAAAGCTGATCTAATAAAACTGACTTTTTTTCTGAAACATAATGAAACGTAATTTATTCCTTTGCAGCCCAAAACTAGAAGTGAGCATATTACATTGGAACACAACATGCTAACTTTATATTCCAGCACTCACCACTGGTTGCTAACAGCTGACAATAACACTCATCCCGGCATGTGTCCGAATGACGTGCCGTCCACTAGGTGTCATTATCAGGGAAGAAATAGGATGCACAAGAGTGTTTATTAACTGTGCAGAAACGGATCACGCGGGCTCTACGGGGACATCTGTTGTTGTTGTTCCTGCGTAGAGCTGGTAAATGATATGGGAACGTGAAATTGGATCAGTGCATAGACTCACATATCTGCTGGTATACAGTAGAGATGCTCCGATGGGGAGGGGGGAGCAATACTGGAAAGGCGAGACAAGTTGTCTTATTTCACAGTTTTAGGGTTGGTGATCAAGCCAGACACCCAAATATACGTCACCCTTGAACAATGGCTGCGATCGGCACAGATGTCCCAATGTAATGTAACGTAATTTCCTGCATCCTGTTGGAAACGGGACACAGTAATCTGCATCTCCTAATTATTATAGAATTCAAACACGCCGCACTGCGCTCTACTGAATGCAATCCACTTCATAATTCATTTGGACGAAAGGCAATCTCCTATCAGTGTAAAAGGTCAGACTGAGCAGCAGCCAATTAGCCTGACGTGAAAAGAGAAACATGACGAGATTAAACCAGCGATGAATCTCAGCAAGACTGCAAAATCCCTGCGCAGTCCGTTTTGGTATTAATCATTTCATTGGACTAATCTGTGGCAGTTGTACCTCTCGGTGTATCCAAAATCTGCTAAGAGGGGCTCAGACACATCATGTGTCATCTAAAAAAAAAGTTTGGGCCGCTGAACCAGGTCTGAGATCAGAGCCAAACCATGCAGTCTGGTCCTACAGAGGGAGACGGGCCTGGTGTAAAGTTAGAGATTGAGATTTGGAGAGACACATTTGGCAGATGGAAGGTACCTTTCTTTGGAAGTAACAGAAAATTGGAAATGTTTCAAAGCCTTCCTCCCTCCCTGTGGCGGCTCATCCCGGGTGAGCCAGCCAGAAGTCACGGTGACCACACAGCGCCCTGCCACTCATGTCGCCTCGGTTATGTAAGCTAGGAGATCACACTACCCACGGAGGGGGGAGGACAGATTCGGAGAGAAAGGAAAGGGAGAGGGAGAGGGGATCGCATGGGAAGTGACTTTGAATTGCAAACAAGGTTACGGCTGTTTCAGCCTTTTATGTCCCTTTTTCTCTCTAACTCCCCTTCTCACACTCATGATCTTCGCCTTCTTGCCTCCTTCTTCTCCACCTTTTCACTCTCTACACATTCTCCATCTCCCCTGAGGACTCCAGTGTACTCCGGACAAAATTGGACTTGTCAAATGTTCTCTCAGAGATGAGGCTAGGTGCAAATGACAAGAATCCCATTGCGATTGGATTGTCTTTTTGCAGGCCCATCTGTGTGTGTGTGTGTGTGTGTGTGTGTGTGTGTGTGTGTGTAGGTGTGTTTGTGGATGTGTGGGTGACAGCAAGCTAGATAATCTCCAGAGAGATCAAACGGAAGTCCATCCGAACAAGGTGAACAGCACTTGGCGTAAATTTAGCTCTCAAATGCCAGAACAACGTCAGGACAAACAGCAGTTCTCCCTGTTCCCATTAACAAACTATTTTAAGTTCACAGGCACTTTGCTTTCTAAGTATTGCTTCTAATTCCTATTAACACAGACGCCATTGTGAATCCTGTTTGTATCCTGAGAATATGCTCTGGTTCATTCTTCCTCAACTATTTGGTTCCTGCCTCTCCACTGTGACAGTTTGCTTCCTTTGTCCTTATGAAAACTTAAATGTATTCAACTTTCTGACTGTCAGTCGGATAAAACAAGAGATTTGAAGCATGAAACCTAATTAGTATTTAAAAACGCTAATGGGGTGCAAACGAATGGATAGTAAAACGTGATTGTTGGATGCAGCCCTAGTTTTTGTGGTGATGTTTTTTATGGCCTCTGTATAAGTGACTCGGTGAGGCCGACATGCTCTTCTTTGTTTCTGGGGGTCAGGCAGGGGGGTCAGACTGAAGAGCGAACGCTGGCAGGTAACTAATGAGAAATTTCTAACGGTGTTCATCACTTTCCGTTTGTTACCGTTAGTCACTGTGAATCTAAAAGCTCTCTACTCACCTATCTGCAGCAGCACGGGCGTCACCAGCGCCGTCTCCATGGCGTAGCAGAACTCCCGGCCGAACATCACGGCGCCATGCATCACCCATCGCTTCAGCGGTATGCCTTCCAGCGATCCCTCGCTCGCTGACTCCTCCACCCCTCGGCCTCCGGATCCATCTGCCTCGCCTCCTGTCGCTCCTCCTCCTCCTCCTCCTCCTTTCCCCTCGCCCGACCCCGACGCCGTGGTGTTTTTGCCGTTAGCCCCGTCCACCAGAGATCCGACCTGCGTGGCGTCGGCCTCCGTGTTCTGGGGAGGCATGTTGGAGGGCATGCACGCAGCGAGAAAGCCAATGCGCACCCCCCACCAGTGACGCGCTGAGAGATCGCCTTTGGCTACCAAAGAAACCTTTTTGAAACTACTCGTGTCAAGTCACTCGTACTTACATTAAAACTGGTTGGTGACCTAATCGCAATATTTTCAAGCTACAAATTACAGCATGTGGTAGTAATTTGCTGGTTATATATATATAACTAGAGTGCCAATATCTCTACAATAAAACCCAAAAGAATTCAAAAAAAAAAAAAAAAAAATTATCTTGGGTCCTGCTAAAACTCAACAAGGCTGCAGACACAAACCAAATGGAGGAAAAGCCGGTCTATATGTCCGGCATGTCAATGTAAAGAAAATGAAACAATCCGTTCAATCAGTATTACTCAGTATTCTCTGAACAAGTTGTACTAAAAAACAACTTGAGCTCCCTAAACACTGCAGCCTCACAAGTGTTAATCCGCCTCTCGGCTTTTGGTTTTGTCCCAGAGTCGGAAAAAAGAAAACAAAGAAATCAGCTTTCCAGAGGTTTGTAGAAATCCAGAAAAAACAATGGAAGCGGTTGAATTTTCACAGGAAGAGTGTGCGGTATATTCCCAGCGTGAGTTTATGTGTGTTTGTGTGCCCCCGTGTGAATGCATGCGTGTGTGTGTGTGTGTGTGTGTGTGTGTGTATGTACGTCTGTGTGTGTAGTGTGTGTGTGTGTGTGTGTGTGTGTAGTGTGTGCGTTTATGGCTTTTTTGTCATTGAGGTTTCTCCCTCTTGTTCCTACTGTCTATTACAAGCTGTAAAAATCCATATAGAAGACCATTCAGTAAGTTCCAGAGTCATTTTAGAGATAGAGGGCTGGATTGAGGGCTGGATGACGCAGTGGGTGGGGGCTAGGAGGAGGCCGCCGGGGGAGGGGAGAGGAGGATTAAGGCAGGTAGCAAAGGTGGGCGGAGCTCTTCTGAAAATCCCCATCGATTGGCTGATCAATCTGGAGGAAGACAGCCAGCAGGTGGAGGAAAGCGGCACCACATCGCAGGCATCCCCATTAGTTGGGAGGAGAGACGGCCGGAAAAAAAGGAAAGATAACATCAGAATTAGTGACAGCAATTTCATGTTTATATGCACTGACCAGAGGAGGGACATTTTGATGCATATATACAAAAAACACTGGATTTCTCTTACATGTACATGCACGTACAAGGGGAAGGCAGACTGCCATTTGAAAAAAGGACAATGAAGAAAAGATAAAACAACTCGAACGAGCCGAACCTTGGGGTTGAATTGATGCATGTAAAATCCTGGAAAAGGACCAGGCTTCTTTAGTAAAATCTGGCTGTGGGTATTTTGAGCATCGCATGTTTCTTCATTAATGCTCCCTGAGGAAGATCGCCAAGCTTGATAAACTGTCGCAGTCCGGAATAGTTTTTCTAAGCCGTCAGTATTAACTCACAGTTATTATTTAACATACTATATCAGACAGTTCCCATCTGTTGCATTTTATTTATATCCAAGTTGATTTAATAATCCCCTTTTTGTGGACCACTAATTAAGTGAACTGACTGTTGGAAAGACAGATTGCTCTGGACTCTCCTGCTGGGACTCCAGCAGCAATTCTACTGCATTTGCAGAAAGTATTTTTTGCTATTAAATTTGTTATCATTACCATTGTGTGTGAATAAACATATTTCTCACTTCTTACTCTGCTCTTTTTTGGCCTCAGCTCAAATACCAAATAAGTTAGTGGAACTATATTATGCACTGTAAAATACTGTAAAAACAACTTTGCAGCAACAATGTCACGGTGATGCGGTGAGTATTTGTTTTTTACAAGTTTTCAAAAAGAAAAACTGGTCTGTGGATAATCTCTAAAGAATGAGTAATTCTACTGGGATTGGCGAGCTGCTTTTCAAAATCAGGTCTGAAACCCAAATACTGTATTTATATTTATTGAACTGGCGAACAATGACTCATTACCTGCATGAACTAAACCCAAACTATTTGTGTGACCAGACACCATAAGAGCAAGAGAAAAAGAAAGTGTTTGGGTTACATTTGGGAAAAGACAACCTGTGTGTGTTTCAGATCTGTGAAAGCAAGTTGTGTGAAAGGATCAACACGCTGATACCACAACTCAAGACACGCACACGCTCCTTTGAAAAGAGTCCATTTTCTCGCATAGTGTAATTGGTTTGAACACATGATTCGTCCGCGCAGACACTCTTTCAAACCGAACGGGGAGGATGGAAGCACACAACGCATTCGTGTTGAGCTACTGTTTCACACAGAGGGTTGTGTGTGTGAGAAGAAATGAGAAATATGTGGACAGAAAAAAAAAAAGAAAGCGAGGAGAATGAAGCATGAAAGCCTTCAGCTAGTAAAAGCGCCTCGGAGAAAAAGAAACAAGAATGCGCATGTGTTCAATACCATTTCAGGGGCAAAGTTACACACCGAAGTGTGTGTTTCCACGTCCAGGGGGTCAGTGGATTATAACACGGCACGTTCTGTCACACCCAACACCCACTAATACTAACCACGTGAACGACACACACACACACAACAGTGCTAAGAGCCTCTAAATTGGGAAGGCATAAAAAGTAAGAGAGGAGAGAGAGACACAGAGAGGGAAATGATGGAGGGTTCGACCAGTGGGAAAGTGGGAGAAATGAAGAACGAGAACACAAAGACAGATCGACGAGGGCAGATGTTGAAAATATGTGGCCGTCCATTACTTACCACCTCTGTATTCATCTCCCTTTGCCAGTTTCAGAGCGCTCGCATGTCCCCATTAACATTTGTGATGCTCTCAAGATGGGCATGAATATTTTATATACACACACACACACACACACACACACACACACACACACCTCCTCCCTTTGACCTCACACATTGCAGCAGATTACATAACAACCCCTCTCCTTTAAAGTAATATGTTCATATAAATAACAAATACATACCAATTAAAATCAAGATTAGGTTACGAATTAGAGGACTAACCCAGAAAGAACTTCAAAACCTCCCACAACTGTGAGGCAGAGAACACGATGTGCCAAAGCACCCGAAGATGTCTCACACAATGTGAACAACAAGTGTCTCTGAAAAGAGAAAAAAAAATATTTGCCCTCTGTACTATAAAAGCATGGAACGAGCTTCCAGAGGAAATGAACTCTTTTTTAATTAGATTGGATATATTCTGGTCAACATAGTTATCTTTTTGTCGTATTATTATTATTACTATGTTCTGTTGTTGTTGGAGTCCGGTGTGGAGGATTTATATCTTGTACCCACATTTCTTTAATTAATAAAAAGCCATTTGTTCAGAAAGGTTTCGTTCCCTCAACTAAATGACCACACACAATTGAGAAACAATTGGGACAGATATATTGTTATAAATCATAAAATGTGCGTCAATGGGCTAAAGGACATAAAAAAAAAACACCGTGTTTTTTCTAGATATTTCAGTTCTAGATAACAGTGAGCAGTACTAGCATCGTTATATTGCACCCTGAAAACACACAAACATAGCAGTTGAATGCCATCTTATTCGTCGTGGCCCAGGGGGTAGAGCGGGTGTGCTGGGAACCGCAAGGTTGGTGGTTAGAGTCCCGGCCGCCCCATGTCTCAAGTCGAAGTGTCCCTGAGCAAGACACCTAACCCCTAATTGCTCCCCGGGCAAAATGTGAAAAAGCCATGGGTTTAAAGTGCAATGTAAGTTGCTTTGGATAAAAGCGTCAGCTAAATGACCTGTAATGTAATGTATAGATTTATACTTATGTGGCAGGCGTCAGTTGCCAGGATGGAGATGGGCGACGGAATAACCCAAAACGAAGCAAAATAGAGTAAATAGGTAACAGAAAAATGTACACAGGCAGGAGGAAGGGAAAGAAGATGCCTGTAAAGGCCAGGACAAATGTTGTTTCCTCTGTCCTGCAGGTCAACACACACAAGTATGCCTTCCTCCCTTCATCTCCCCTCTCCATCCTTCTTTAGCTTCTTCCATCATCTCCCACTTACATGTTGCAGGTATCATAAGCAAAGCAAAGTGCAAAAAGCATAGAGTTGAATTGGAAAAGGCATTTGTTCCCCTTTATAAACCATTTTGCTCTCACCTATTTCTGTGGAGCATGTAGGAAAATATGTATTTAGCTGCAGCAAATGGTGTTTCCTGCCTGTAGCTATCGTGTCAAGTATCTAAAACCACAAAATATTTAATTGGACAACGGGCTGGAGCTGGGGAAGGACCACTAACTGGTTACAGCTGACTGATTCATCTGTTAAGCAAGGCGGAAGGGTGCCAAATAAAGCCTGGTTTAATTTGAAAAGGAGCAGCCCGCTGAGAATAATATCAGAGAGGAGAAAAAGCTAAAGATGTTTAATCCTGAGAATGTTGAGATATTTGCTTTAAAATTACCCCAAAACAATCTCTTACATCAGTAAAACCTTTGCAAAGTCATATATGTGGGTTTGAAATGCTGACTGTACTGAACAAACGAGGTAAATACGTCTGGACTCCTTTACATTGTTTGACAATATATTGCATTGAGATGAAGCCCATTGACCCATATGGAGCTGAATATAGATCGCAAGGCTGAGGACCTCAGGATCAAGTTCACATACTGAAGTTAATATTTGTGTGCATGGACAGTGAGGGAAAATAAAAGGAGGGTCTATTTGATCTTGCATAAGAGGCACTTCACTACAATTTGAAGCCCAGAGAGACCCACTGACCAGATGTGCTGATTCATCGAGTTCAATATGAGAGGATAATCGGAGTAGTTAGGAGTTTGACCGTCGGTGAAAACCGAAGAACCTGCAAGCAGGAAAAAACTGATGATGTCCCTGGAAGCTATATGTCATCCGTATCACATTTTCTACCAATATATCAGTTTGTTCCTGGTGTCACAAGCAGATGCTTTTCATTCACTAATAAGAGTAGAAATGGGTCATGTCAGCGAGAAGGGCCAGAGAGCGCCGACCAGCGGGACGCAGATGTGCTGCCAGGTGGTTAGAATAAATAAATTAAAATTAAAAATGAAATTTAAAGCTATTATGACTAGAGGGTAACACGGGAGCACATGTAACTGCCTATTTGCACTTTGGACAGTGTTTGCGGTGCACGACCAGGCCTGTCTGTCTACTCATGTTACCTGTAACATGTAAGGGAGATGATGGAGGAAGAACAAGGAGAAGAAGAATGGAGAGGGGCGGGGGGGGGGGGGGGGGGCGAGCTAGCCCTAATTTCATGCCAGTGTCGCAGGTAATCCGTTCTGAGGCCCCACAATAAACCCTCACTTAAATAGACCGGTGTTACCCGTGTTCTTCGAGACACAGGCATCTTCTCCCCCCCCTCCTGCTGGTTTTCCTCTCGCCTTTTGCATGCGTTTGAGTCTTTTTTTTTTTTTGTCCATCTGAGGAATCAAAACTTCTTTTTCGTCAGGTATTTAACTTCATTTGACAGTTTCCCTAGTCTTAGCCCAGTGCTTTTGTTTTCCTTTTACTCGACTCTTAACACCATCCTCTCGATCCTTCTCAGCCCTCACTTGAAACTGTACAGTGTTTATTTTGACTCCTGGAAAGGCTACGGTGGGATTCTCCATAAGCTGAGCTCATGTTACGGACTCACACACATGCACAAACACACAGAAACAATAGTGCGACTGAGCGGTGCTTCATGTGTAAAGACCTGTAATCAGATAGTATTCACTGTGTGTGTGTGTGTGTGTGTGTGTGTGTGTGTGTGTGGAGAAATTCAAGACATTCAAGAGATGTTTGATCTTTTGGGACTCTCTCCCTGTTTCTCGCACACAGACACAAACATTCGGTGGCAAGGAGGACAGTTCCTAGACATCTACACACACGGACAGCTAACCGCAAAGCAACGCAATCACACACACACACACACACACACACACACACACTACAACATCGTCATGCTGTCCGTGACACTCCCGTGAAAAATAACCATTTTCCCAGCTTCAGGAGGCAGAT